GCAGTTAGCCTCGCTGCATGCAGTTAGCCTCGCTGCAGGCAGTTAGCCTCGCTGCAGGCAGTTAGCCTAGCCTTGGAGCTAAATAATCCTATAAACCTGTCAATCAGCCACACCTCCTAACAGAGGACTGTGATGTCAGCGCTGTGGAGGGAGGCAGTGAGCAAATCAAGCTGCTTTCAGCTCTGGGTGCAGGAGAGCTGCTCCCCACGATGCTCCTATCTTAGCATTGAGGAGGAGCTGCTCCACATGGACGACTTTAACCAGAGATTTATGGAAATACGTCACCAATCCGACAACAACAAAACTGCTTTACTCGTCATTAAAGATTAAATATTTATATTGCACATCTAAAATTTATATATTTTAATAAAGGACCTTTTAATCAAGGTCATTGGGTGAGTGGGGTGGCGCCCTCTACTGGCCAGCTGCCACTGTTTCATTTCCATTCCTCTCATCTTTATTAGCTGCTTATAATGAAGTTAGTAATGATGTAAATATCACCGTTAATCAGCTAATAACTGACCAACCTAACTAAATAATCACTCACATTTCTGTTATTTAATAATTCTAGCCTTTTCTTCCCAACATTTAGGAGTAAAGTGATAAATATAGATATTGGATCTAGATCTGAATGTTTTACCCTAACCAAATGTATCTGTTGAATCTATAAATTCACATTTAAAATGAGATATAGATTTATAGAGTTAACATTTACATAAAGAATGTAGAAACAGATGTTTTTAGATATGACATGAAAATATAGATTTATTGTTTAAATGTAGTTTTTTTCCTGAATGTGAAGAATTTTTCCTAAATCCCAGGATTGCGACATTGAGTTTTAGATTTATTTTATAGTAACCATAGAAACTGAGGATGTTCTGACAGAAGGAACCAAACATCTGCAGCTTCTCCTCCATCAGGTTAAAACAGACGTTGCCTTCAGATGTTCTGAAGATCCACTCTGGAGAACATTCACTCTGGTTCTGATTCTGTCTCTGCAGCGACTTCTACATCAGCATGGTGAAATGGGTGAGCCGGCAGAAGCTGAGCGTCCGCTGGGTCAACCGAGCTCAGAACGTCTCCATTCTCTCCCTGTGTGACGCCACCACAGGCGACTGCATGAAGGTAGGAAACTCACGGCAGAAACGGGCCGAGGCAGAAGTTCTGGTCACCTGACTCCATCTTGTTCCATCAGAAACATGTGATGACATCAGAGGCTTGGTTGGACCGCCAGGTGAGGTTCCTCTTCACCTCAGACTCATGAACCTGAGTCCAAACAAACCACTCTGGTACCTGAAGAAGCAGGATCTGGGTTCATGTCATGTCTAATGCTTGAAAAGGAGGTTCTGGTCTTAACAAACTGGGACCAGAACCAGAACCAACCTCATGGTACTGAAAGGCTCTGGTCCATCTGACCTCCAGACTGAGGAGCCACTGTTCTCCAGGGACCTCAGCAGGTTCTTCATCAGCAGCCCTGGAGCCTTCAGCCACATCTCCATGATCTCCAACCAGGTGAGACCAGAACATCCGGGTCTCTGACAGCCCGACCCGTCTGCCGGGTGTCAGGGACCCATCCTAACATGCCGTCTCTTCTCTGTGGTCCTCAGTCTGACGCTGAGCGGGTCCGGGTCCAGCAGCTCACCTCTGGGAACTGGAAGGTCTCCCGGGTTCTGGCCTACGATGAGAACTCCAGATCCATGTAAGTTCTGATCCAATAGTTTGTTAACGAAGCGGTTCTGGTCTCCCAGACTCCATCCTGATCCAGGTCTGCTGCTAGTCTGTGAGGACCTACCAGTAATTATTGGTATCAGAACCGGAGTTTATCGATCATTTTGGATTCAATCTGTTCAACTTCAGGCTGTTTAAATAGTTCTGTTGGATGTTGGACGATGTTGGACGATGTTGGACGTTGGACGATGTTGGACGTTGGACGATGTTGGACGTTGGACGATGTTGGACATTGGACTCTGGGATCCATTCTGTCCATTTTTCTGAGCTGAACCCCTCTATTGGTGCCGTGGTGCCGTTTGGGGCGGTGTACGGATGAATGGAACCTTATACGGGACGCCACAGGGCTCCGTTCTCGCTCCCCTCCTTTTTCTGCACCAGAAAACCTACAGATGTTCCTCTCTAGAACAGAAATCTGAATATCTATTTATAGCAACTATCTGATATGAATATTCCAATATTATGTCTATTAACGAACAGCTTAAAACAGAACCGCAGTGCTTAGACTGCCTCTCTGCTGCAGGTAGGTCACGTCACCTGACAGGTCTATGTCCCATAGCAGCTGATCTATGGTAGTGATCCATATCAGGATCGTTTTAGGACCAGTAGTTCCTGGTCCACCAGGTGCCTCCTCTAATAGAACTGGACTCTCTAATGGAGAAGCTTTGCTGTGAGACTTTCAGCTTCCTGGTATCTGCTGATGTCCTGCTGTTTGGGGGAGGAGCCCATTTTTCTTTCCTCAGTAGGACATTTACACTGAAGGTTGTTTCCTGTCAGGGGACCTAATTCCATGCAGATCCGTCCGGCTCTGATTTCTCGGTGCTCTTCTGTTTTCTAGATATTTCCTGAGTACAGAGGAGGGGTCGGCTCAGCAGCACCTGTACAGGTACGGCATCAGCTTCTCTTCCAACCCTCAT